CAATTTTTAGCATAAGGATTTTAGAAAAAAGTATCATCTTATAGTCGGAAAAATACGGTACATTCCAGATTTGCCATAGTACTATAATCATTCCTAAATAAGTCATATTCTTAGAGGAGTGAGTTAGCAGCAAAAACGTACCTATTGTTCCTATTTATTTTATATAATTATCTTTATTTGGGAACATTCAGGTAATAATTTTTGTCACAAAATGCAGCTACTTATATGATGTAGTAGTATTGATTGGTTAAAAAGATTAGTTGAAGAAATAAAACAAAAATTAAATATTTTCGGTAAATGAAAGGATTAATTGAGAAAATGTTCTCATTGTACAACTATCAAGTTCAAAACAAGGGCCCTTTTTTCTGGTATTCTGATTTTAATACCCAATGCATCTGGCTTTTGATTGTATTTTCCTGTTGGTTATCCCTGGCATCTTTTATGCAGAAACCTAAGTGTCACTGAACACTGATTTTCATTAACCAATGAAGTTAGTAGCTATGGATGATTGAAATAAATCTGATGAATTTATTCAAGCGCTTTAGGATTTCAGTGATTGTCATATTTCCTATATAATGAAAAGAATACTATGTATTCTACCACAATAACACACAACTATACTATATTTTATTAAAGGATTAATATTGGTGTAAAGATTAAGATGTTGGACTACAAATGGGGAGGTTCTAGTCTATCCTCAGCCATGGAAATTCACTGGATGACTTTGGTCAGTCTCTCTCAGCCTAACCCTGTTTACAGGATGATTGTTGTAGGGAGAAATAAGGAAGAGCACTGTATGCTGTGACTTAACTCCTGGTTGAGCTCAAGACAGGATATAAATCAAATAAATACAGAAACAATTAAAAACATTCTATACAAACAGTTTTTGGAAATGGAAACGGAAACAATTAAGTGATCTTGGATCTTCCACTCCTATGGAACACTTACGCCCAGGCATAAGTGTTTGTTCAGGTTTTTCTGCCTTCAGCCTTCAACAACAACAACAACAAAATAAGGCCCTCCTCTGAGAAGAGAGCAGAGGAACATCTGGACCAGGAGTTCACAGCATGTCTTGGTACCTAATTTTTTATACAGGTGCTGGTGTTATGGTTTGGAGATGCATTGCTGCCAGAGAACCTGGATGGTTTGTGATCATTGAAAAAAGCATGAATTCTGCTCTGTGTCAGAGAATTTTAAAGGAGAAAATCAAGTTGTCATTTTCATCGCTGAAGCTAAAGTTCAAGTGGGACAAGCACTAATACAGTGATCCAGAACATAAATACAAGCCTATAGGAAAACAGATGAAGAACAATGTGTTTTGGAATGCCGAAATCAAAGTGTGCACTTAAATCGTGCACACAATAGATTGTGACATGACGTGAAATGAGTAGTTCATTTTAGAGGTTTTAATATGATAAAGGAGAAGGTGATGGAAAGTAGTTTAGCAGGGGTGGATAAGATTTGTAGCAAAGCTCTTGAAGATATCTCCTCTTTCCCAATTATTATAACAAGCTCTGTTGCTCTTGTATTATATGCGCCCTGCATGATAACTCCAGCTTCCAAAATACAACCTGTTGCTAACAGTCCATGGGGCATCCTAGTTGATTCCACATCCCCTTCAAGCAAAAAGATATGGCAGGGGACTTTTCTGATGACTATCCTCCTCTGCCAGAAAAAAAATTACTTTGAATAAGAAAAAAGTGATTTTGTGAAATTCAACAATATTAATTCAGCAAAGCTCTAAAATTGAACTGATTTAATTTCTTTGCCTTTAACAATTGGTAGCATGAAAAATAATTGTCCCCTCCTCCAGAAAAACAACTTAATATTACCTTAATACTTCACAAGGAAGCTTTGAGATATTAGTAACTTAGTAATTAGTACCAGAGACCTTATTTGTCTCTGATATGTTCTTACATTGTAATTGGCAAAAAATGGACTCTGAAAAAAGGAATAGATTTTACTTTCTTCTGACCAGTTCATAAGCTGTGTTGGAACAATTTGCAAATGGAGACTATAGCTCAGAATACATTTCAGTAATTTTTAAAAAGAAAAAAGTAGCCATTCGTACAATTATTCTTCAGTGAAAAGATCAGGGAAAAAACCCTAGGTAGTCCCCAGGTTAAGAACACCCAGTTCACAGGTGATCCATAGTTAAGAACAAAGCCTATTGTAGCAAAATTCGAGTTAAATTCACAGTGATTCGAGTTAAATACACAGTGGTTCAAATTAATTATACAATACTACTTATACAGTACTATATAATAATACTGTTCTGGCTTACATACAGTTTCAACTTAAGGACAGACCTTGGGAATGGAACTCATTCTTAAACTGAGGGCTACCTGTGCTGCAAAATTATCTCCTGTAATCTTCCAGTTATAACATAATTTTACCAGCA